CACGTTGATCAGTCAGGAGAAGCCTTCCTGGGAAGTTAACAGGTGAGCTGAGGCCTGAAGCAAAAATCACTGGACCTGGAGAGGAGACACCAGCAGCCTTTACAAAAGCCTTAAGGCAGGAAAGTATCTAGAATGGTCAGGGAGGGGTGAGAAGACCATTGTGGCTGGTGCCCAGTGGGTGAGGGAGATAGTGGGTAGACACAGTGCAGGCCCTGAGGGTGAGAACAAGGACCTTGGCTGTTGTTGATAGAAGTTTCTAAGCTAGGGGATGGTCGGGCATTCAGGGACTCACTGGCTCCTTCTGGTGGCTGTGAAAGGAATAGACTGGATAGAACTAGGCATTGGAGACCAGGGCAGATGAATGGACCTGCAGGGTGGGTTTGGGCAGATTCCAGGAGCCAGGCTCATTTGAGATATGAATGACATCATGGAACCAGTGGCCACCAACTTTTGTGGAGGTATTTTTTTGTCTTTTTAAGACATGGTCTCCCTGTAGTCCCAGCTGGCCTGGAACTCACTATGTAGACCAGGTTGGCCTTAAACTCACAGAGATCTGCCTGCCCCTGCCTCCCAAGTGCTGGGATTAAAGGTGTGCGCCACCACACCAGTCAACCCCCAACTTTTATCCTTGGAATGTCCCCAGTACCTACATTGGAGCCTGGCAAACACAGGTGTGTATATGTGTTGGACACAGATTTATGTTAGAGACTGATATATCTGTTTGGGGGGAGCCGATTTTCCTTTTTTTCTTTTTGGTCTTTTTGAGACAGGGTCTTCCTGTAGCCTCAGCTGGCCTGGAACTTGTTATGTAGACCAGGTTGGCCTTGATCTTACAGAGCTCCGCCTACCTCTGCCTCCGGAGTGCTGGGTTTAAAGGTGTGAGCCACCATACCCAGCTTATTTTTCTTTTTTCATTCTTTTTTTAAAATTTTATTTATTATTTTTATGTGTATGAATGTATTGCCTACATATATGTAAGTGCACCACCCATGTGGTGCAATGTCCACAGAGGTGGGAAGAGGGCATCAGATCCCCTGGAACTGGAGTTACAGACAGTTGTTAGCTGCCATGTGTGTGCTGGGAATCAAACCCAGGTCCTCTGCAAGAGCAGCCAGTGCTCTAGCCACTGAGCCACCTCTCCAGCCCCCTTTCATTATTTTTTTTCAATCCCCGCCTTTCTTTTTTTTTTTTTTTTTGAGATGGGGCCTGGAACTCACTATGGAGACCAGGCTGGTCTTGAACTCACAGAGACCTGCTTGCCTCTGCCTGAGTGCTGGGACTAAAGGCGTGCACCACCACAGCCAGCTTCAATCTCCCCTTTTTAATAAAGACTGGTTTTTATGCTTGAAAATTGTGTATGTGCACATGTGTGGAGTGCCCTCAGAGGTCAGATGAGAGAATCTTGCTGGACAGCTTTAGTTGTTAACTTGACACACCTGGGTAGAGGGAGCCTCAGTTGGGGAATTGCCATGTCTATGAGGAATTTTCTTGATTGTTGAGTGATGTGGGAGGGCTCAGTCCACTGTGGGAGGTGCCAACCCTGGGCAGGTTGTCCTATGTTATATGAGAAAACAGACTGAGCACAAGCCAGGGGAGCAAGCCAGTAAGCAGTGTTCCTCTATGGCCTGTGCTTCACCTCCTGCCTCCAAGTTTCTGCCCTGAGTTCCAACTTTGGGCTCCCTGTGACCTGGGAGATGTGAGCCAAATAAACCCTTTCCTCCCCAAGTTGGTATTGGTCAGAGTATTTTGTCACAGCAATGGAGAAACAAACTAGGACAGAAATTGGTACCAGAAGTGGAGTATTGCTGTGACAGACTTGACCTTAGTGTTTTGGGGAGGATTGTGGAAGCGTTTGGAACTTTGGTGGAAAAGCTAATGAGTGTTTAGAGTTTGTTGCTAAGGAGCTTGAAACAGTTAAACTGAAAGCATTATGGAAGATGGAGGCCTGGCTTGTGAAGCTTCCAAGTGAAATGAGGGCTGTTTGTGTGATATCTTAAATTGAGAATCTGTGGGTTCTGGTCAGCTGGGGCTTGAAGAATCAGAAGGGACCAGAACCTGAAGTAAAACCTTTGCTTTACTGGGACAATTGATGCTGGTTAGCTGGGGCTGAAAAATCAGCTGTGAATAACAAGAGACCAGCATCACTGTGGTGGAGTCTTCTGGGAGGTATTTCCTCATGGCCAGCACACAGAAGCTATGGTCCAGAGGGGACCCAAACCTCCAACTCAAGCTGGAAGCAGGACTTGGTAATGTGTGAGAGTCTCCTGAATGGTTCTGGTGTTGAAAGTGTGAAGGGTTCACAGAAAGCAACTGAAGCTTGGTACTGTGAGAGGCCGGGAAAGGCCATGGGTGAAAGTGCAGCTTCAGTTGCAGTGAAGACCCCAGGATTGAAGGGGTCATGGAGAGAATCTGAGGCTTTGCACCCCAAAAGGAAAGAAGAGGCCATTGGTGAAGATGCAGTCTCAATTTCAGTGGAGACCCCAGCTTTTTGGAGATACCAGGACCATAGGACGACCACCATGGGCAGCAGCAGGTGTGGAATGGAGCCGGTCTGGGCCTGCAAGACAAGTTGTGTGTGCTATGGATGGCAGCACCAGAGCAGTGGAGCTGCCAAAACCTTTTGGAGCCCAGAAGATCGTGAGTGACTCCCAGATGTCCAGCCTCCAGCTACTTGCCAGACTTAGGTTTTGCTTAGGTGTGCCCGATTCTTTCCTTTTGAAATAAGACAGTACTTGTTTTGGATTTTACAAAGGAGCCCACAGTTAAGAGATTTTTTAAAAGAGACTGTGGACTTTTAAGTGTTTGGATTTTTTAAGGACTATAGGACTTTTAAGGTTGTACTGTCTTATGTTGTGATATTATGTTAACATCATATCTTGGGGACAAGAAATAGAAAGGTTGTAGTTTAATAGTGATGTGTTTGTGTGTCAAGTTGACAAGGGGTCAGTTGTGCTGTATACCTTTAGTTGTCAACTTGACACAACTCCCTCTGGGTAGAGGGAGCCTCAGTTGGGGAATTGCCTCCATTGGACTGGCCTATGGCCATATCTGTGGGGCATTTTCTTGATTGTTGAGTGATACAGGAGGGCCTAGCTCACTATGTGTGGTCCTACCCCTGGGCAGGTTGTCCTGTGTTGTATAAGAAAGCAGCCTAAGCACAGGGCATGGTGGCACACGTCTTTAATCCCAGCACTTGGGAGGCAGAGGCAGGAGGATCTCTGTAAGTTCAAAGCCAGCCTGTAAAAAAGAAAGAAGAAAAAAGAAAAAACAACCCCACAGGCCAGGGAGCAAGCCAGTAAGCAGCGTTCCTCCATGGCCTGTGCTTCAACTCCTGTCTCCAGGTTCCTGCCCTGAGTTCCTACATTGGGCTCCCTGATGAACTGTGACCCAGGAGATGTAAGCCAAACCCTTTCCTCCCCAAGTTGGTATTGATCAAAGTATTTTGTCACAGCAAGGGAGAAACAAACTAGAGCAGGGTCAGAAACCCTGGAGCTGGAGTTACAGGTGGTTGTGAGCCAAAAGACATGGGTGCTGGAAACTGAACTCAGGTCCTCAGCAAGAGCAGTATGCACTTTTAACCACTGAGCCAACTCTCCAACTTCTTAGTCTTTTTTTTTTTTTTTCTTTTCTTTTTTTTTCTTTTTCCTGCCTCTGCCACACCAGCCTGTCTTTTTCTTAAAAATGTTTTTAGGGGGTCTGGAGAGATGGCTCAGCAGTTAAGATCACTGATTGCTCTTGCAGAGGACCCAGGTTCAATTCCCAGCACCCACATAGCAGCTAACAACTGTCCATAACTCCAGTTCCAGGGGATCCAACAGCCTCTTCTGTCCTCCTAGGCATTGTATGACACGGGTGCACTCGCATACACGTAGGCAATACACTCATACACATAAAGTAAAAATAATAAATAAAGTATTTTTAAAAATGTTTTTAGGGGGATTGGGGAGATGACCCAGCAGTTAAGAGCACTGGCTGCTCTTGCAGAGGACCCATTCCCAGCCACCCACATGGCAGCTAACAACTGTCACTCTTGTTCCAGGGGATTTGACGCCCTCTTCTGGCCTCCATGGGCATTGCACACATATGGTGCACTTGTATATAAGAAGGCAAACACTCATACACATATGTAAAATAAAATAAAAGTAAATAAAAGTAAAAGTACCTTTTATTAATTAATTTTAAATAAATTATAATCAGGTTCTCTTTTTAAAAATATTTACTTATTTGTATGTGTGTGTCCATGTGAGTGTATTCACATGTGTGTGTGGGGGGGTGCATGCTCAGAGGCCAGAAGAGGGCATCCACTGCCTTTCTTGATCACTCTCCACTGATTCCTTTGAGGCAGGGTCTCTCCCTGAACCTGAGTGTGTGTTTTCTCAACTAGACTGGAAGCCAGCAAGCCCTAGCCATCTTCCTGTCTGTGCCCCCTACTTTGGAACTTGGGTTACAGGTGCGTGTGCACATCAGGCTTGGTACATGGGTGCTGGGGCTCCTGAACTCCCATTGTCATGATGGCAAAGCAAGGACTCTAACCTGCAGAGCCATCTCTTGGCCCACATAATCATGTATTGTAATGGGGTTGAATGTGATATGTGTTTTTGTGTATGCACTTCTATGTGTCTGCAGTAGTGCATGTGCAGGTCAGAGGTTCATGTCTGGTATCTTCCTTAATTCCTTCCCACCTTATTTCTTTTGAGACAGAGTCTCACCATGTGGACCACGCTGGCCTTGATCTCTTAGAGATCTGCCTGCCTCTGCCTCCCCAGGGTTGGGATTAAAGACCTGTACCACCAAACCTGGCATACACCTGCCTTTTTTACATAGGGGGGTCGAACCAGGTCCTCATGCTTGTATGGGAATCACTTTACCAACTGAACCATATCCCAGCCCCATCTCCCTTATATGCCCACCCGCATATCACAGATTTCTTCTGTCTCTTGACTCCTCTTGACTCCCCCAGTATCATCTCATGACCCCTCTTCCCTCTTATCTCTTTGCAGCTTGGAGGCAGAAAATGGACCAACACCATCCTCCGGACGCAGCCCTCTGGACTCGCAGGCGAGCCCAGGGCTGGTGCTGCATGCTGGGACAGCCACCAGCCAGCGCCGGGAATCCTTCCTCTACCGTTCAGACAGTGACTATGACATGTCACCCAAGACCATGTCTCGTAACTCATCGGTCACCAGTGAGGCGTGAGCACCTCCTTTGAAACTCACTAGCTCCCCCCAGCCCCCCATCATGCTCAGCCCTGCCAAAAGCCATCCTTTCAGGCAAAGAGTGGGGCCCCATCCCCATTCTGGTCAACCCACACATACTTGTTCTCCCTCTTAAAAGGCTTAGCTTAGGGGCCTGAGAAAGTTTGGTCCTGCTGACACCCAGTCATTGGCTGCTATAGAGACTGGTCTTATATTTGAAACAGGGTCTCTCTATGTAGCCCTGGCTGACCTTGAACTCACAATGTAGACCAGGGTGGCCTTGATCTTACAGAAATCTGCCTGCCTCTGCCTCCCAAGTGCTGGGATTATAGGCATGCACTACCATGCCTGGCTATTCTTTTATTATTATTATTATTATTATTATTATTATTATTATTATTATTATTATTTTAAAAATGTCATGAGTGTTTTGCCTGCATGTATGTTAAGTGCACCACATGCATGCAATGCCTGTGGGGGCCAGAAGAGGGTGTTGGATCTCCTGGAACTGGAGTTACATACAATTGCTAGCCACAACGTGGGTGCTAGGAACAGAACTCCGGTCTTCTGAAAGAGCAGCCACTGTTTTAAGCGCTGAGCCAGCTCTCCCACCCCTTATTTTCTTTGTGTGTGAGGCGCTGGGAAAAGGGTTCAGGGAGCTGCAGATGGCAGGCAAGCACTTCACTGAGCTATACCAATGCTGCCTGGTGCCTCTTCAACTCATCTTCTAGCAATGAAGGTGCCCCTTCCTGAGGCCCCTTTTTGCCCTTCCCGGGTTTTCCCCAAGCTACTTCTCCTGTCTATTGAGGTAGAGCCCCTCCCCCCAGATCTTCTTGCTTTCCCGTCTCGCTGGATTCCTCCAGGTCCAGTAGTAGCCCACTTCCTGCATGGATTCCCCCACCCACTCAAGCAGGTGCTCCTCACACTGATGCTTTGTCTCTGTACCTCTCACTCTGACCCTTTTCCTTGCCCACCAGCCTGTGACCCTCACAGGGTCCATCCCCAAGACCTACTTCTTTGGGGGTCCATGACCTGTTCCTGTTCTTTCTTGCAGGCATGCTGAGGACCTAATTGTGACACCGTTTGCCCAGGTGAGACCTCTTCCTCCTCCCATGGGAAAGAGGCCCAGCCTCTGTCATCCCTGTTCATAGACACCTGTCCTTATGGCTGTCCCCCTTCCCAGGTGCTGGCCAGCCTCCGCAGCGTTCGAAGCAACTTCTCACTCCTAACCAATGTGCCCATCCCCAGTAACAAGTAAGTGATACTCTTGGTCTCCAGCACCCACACGAACAAGACTTTCGAATAGCTTTCTGGGAATGTGGCTCAGTTTACAGTACACTTGCCTAGCGTGCACAGGGCCTTGGGTTCCATCCTCAGCATCCAATAAACAAGGCATGCCTGTCATCCAGCAATCTGGAAGTAGAGGCAGGAGGATCAGGACTTGAAGGTTATCCTTTGCTATATAGAGAGTTCCAGGACAGCTTGGACTATATATTACATTAGACTCTGTCGCAAAGAAAAGAAAGAGAGCTGAATTCAATTCTCACCCCTGCAATGTGACCCTCAGGCCAGCACTTGACCTCTTTGAACCTCTGTTCAAGCAACAACTCTTTCTAAACAAGAAAACCATTGCCATTTATGGGCCTAAGACCTCAAAGCTTTTAAAAATAAGGACCCAGAGGCCTGCAAGGATGGTGGTGAGACCCCAGGGCTCCTCTGGGTTGTGACACATATTTGCTCAGTCACATGGCACTTGGATGCCTGTATTTCACTTTTGTAAATTAGATAGCTGCTGTGAGGAAGCCAAGAGATGGCATACAGGAAGTGCTACAACATTGATTAATAAATAGGGATGGTTTGGGGCAGGCAAGATGGTGCCAAGCCTAACAATCTGAGTTTGATCCTCAGAACTCACATGGTGGGTGGAAAAACTGATTCCCACAGGCTGTCTTCTGATCACCACATTTGCACTGTGGCATGCATACAACCAGCCCTTACACACATCATACACACACAATGGCATGTATGCAACCAGCACTTATTACACACATCATACACACACAATGGCATGCATGCAACCAGCACTTACACACGCATCATACACACACAATGGCATGCATGCAACCAGCACTTATACACACATCATGCACACACAATAAACAAATAAATATAGCCAGGTATGGTGGCGCACGATTTTAATTCCAGCACTTGGGAGGCAGAGGCAGGCAGGTCTCTGTGAGAGCAAGTCCAGCCTGGTCTACATAATGACCCTGTGTCAAAAAAAATAATAAAATTAATTAATTAATTAATTAATTAGTTAATTAATAAGGGGCTGGAGAGCTGTGGTTAAGAGTACTGGCTGCTCTTGCAGAGGACCCAAGGTTGGGTTCCCAGCACCCACAGGGCAGCTAACAATTATCCATAAATCCAGTTTCAGGGGAATCCAATGCCCTCTTCTGACTTCCTTGGGCATTGCATGACACAGGTGTGCTTACATACATGCAGGCACTACATTCATACACATAAAATATAAAATAATACATTTTTCTAAAAGGCTCTGAAATGCTCAGAGTTCAGAACCAGGGAAACTGACATTATCCATGGAGAGGGGGAGGCAGGCTTCTGGGAGAACCCAGGCTGACATTGGAGCACCATCTTTTTGCAGGCGGTCCCCGCTGGGCGGCCCACCCCCTGTCTGCAAGGCCACGCTGTCAGGTAGCTAAGCTTCGAGTTTTGGGAAGGGAACCCACACCCTGGGTGGACCCCCCTCATCACTGTGGGTCTGGGGATCCCTGTGGGGGGACTTCTGGAGATCCCTTGGATCATTCCCTGGGCACCCGTCTTCCAGAGGAGACATGCCAGCAGCTGGCCCAGGAAACCTTGGAGGAGCTGGACTGGTGTCTCGAGCAGCTGGAGACCATGCAAACGTACCGCTCTGTCAGCGAGATGGCTTCACACAAGGTGGGCTGCTGGGCAGGTAGTGGGCAACTGGTGGGCAGGAAGATGGGCAGCTGGTGGGCAGGCTGGTGGGTAGGGTGAATCTTGCAGGATGGGTGTAGTCGATTAGTAGAATCTACTGGGGTGGGTGGGGCCGGTGGGTAGGATGATTGTTTCAGCAGGGTGAATCTTGATTGGGGGCTGTTAGATAGGGTGAATCCTGTGTGGGAGGTGGGCAGGGTGAATCTGAGAATAGGTAGAGTTGGAGGATGGGTGAATCCTGAGGTGGGTGGAGCTGAATCTCTTTTTAAAAATTACTTTTATGTGTATAAGTGTATTGCTTGCATGTGTGTGTAAGTGCACTCGTGTTGTTTAAGCCCATGGAGGTCAGAAGAGGGTGCTGGATCCCCTGGAACTGGAGATATGGTTGTTAGCCACCAGATGGGTGCTGGGAACTGAACTCAGATCCTCTGCAAGAGCAGCCAGTTCTCTTAACAGCTGAGCCATCTTTCCAGCCCCACTGCCAATTTCTTGATAGGACGTGTCTGCTAATCCTAAAACAGGACAGGTCTAGTATGGTGGAACCAATTACTGGGTTGGGCCTGAAGAGTGGAGGCCAATCACCAAATGAAGGTGATAGGCAAGGCCAAGCTATGATTTGGACCACTGACAGACTTGGGCTGCAGTTGGAAGTGGTATTGGCATGGCTGGAGATGGGCTCAGTGGGTAGTTCACTTGCTTAGTGCATGCACGAGACCCTGTGTTCCATCCCTAGCACCACTTAAACCAGATATGGTGGAATCCCAGCACTCAGGAAGTAGAGGCAGGAGGATCAGAAGTTCAAGGTTGTGGAGCTGGAGAACTGGCTCAGTAGTTAAGAGCACAGGCTGCTCTTGCAGAGGACTAGGGGTCAGTTCCCAGCACCCACCTGGTGGCTAACAACCTTTTGTAACTCCAGTTCCAGAGGATTTGATGCCCTCTTCTGGCCTCTGAGGGCACTGCATGATATGGGTGCACTTACATACGTGTAGGGAAAATACTCACACACATAAAATTGAAATTTAAAAAAAAGTTCAGGGGCTGGAGAGATGGCTCAGCGGTTAAGAGCACTGACTGCTCTTTCAGAGGACCCAGGTTCAATTCCCAGCACCCACATGGCAGCTACGAACCGTCCTTAACTCCAGTCCCAGGGGAATCCAAAGCTGCCTTCTGACCTCGGCATTGCACGACACGGGTGCACTCACATACATCCAGGCAATACACTCATACACGTAAAATAAAAATAATAAATAAAGTATTTTTTAAAAGTTCAAAGTCATCCTCAGCTACATAAGGAGTCTGAAGCCAGCCTGTGTTACAGTGAGACTCTGTAGCTTATATGGACCCAGATTTCCTCAGGGCTGGGGGAGCCTGGAGTGTGTGGGGGGTGGGGAGGGCATATATTTCACAGGTGACATCTTTCTTGGGGGGTTGTATACTTGTATCCTGTGTGTTTTCCTGGCCACCAATTTGCATAGCTTTTTGACTACCCTTTTAAGTGTTTGGTCTGTTCTAAGAGGTGACATGCAGGTGTATGTTTGGAAGAATGTGTATGTGGTTGTGAACATCGGATCATGGGTGTGTACCCCAAAGTTGTACCAAAAGGGGATGTGTGTGTCTGAGGGTGTGAAGTCAGTCTAGATGTGAATCTATCTCTGTTTGTGACTTTGTGCATGCTGTTATCATTGCCAGGGAAGGGGGCACAGTTCCCCTGTCCAGCTGTGCAGAGTGTGCACTGCCCAACTGCAGGGGGCACCATTCACCAAGCAAAGCCATATGAATGAGACAAGGCAGCTGGGAGTTCTGCAGCCTTGGTGGGCGGGTGTCTATCAGGAAATGAGTGTGCAGGTGGGGGCGTCTTCCTTCAGAAATACATGCATCTGTGTGGGCTGAGGCTTGTCTGGGGAAATGAGTTCAAGGGCAGTTCTGTCCCTGAGGGTGGGTGAAGCAATTGAGGAAGTGACTGTTGTGTGTTGCATGCCAGGGTTATTTCTGTGATAGTGTGTATTGAGTGTGCATCTATAAGTGTGTCAGGACCTGGGCTGTTGGTCCTTGGTGTGTGAATGACTAAAAAATGGGATGCCAACTGAAGATACGTTTGGCATGTTCAAATGGATAGCTAGGAATATATTGTGGCATGAAACTTGTGACAGTCTCCCATTGTGTGTGTACGTACGTGTGTGTTGTGTGTCAGACTAGAAACACTTGGGAGTCTGTGTGTTTAAGTGTCTGACCTGGAGGATGGTGTGTCTGCAGGTATGTGGGGGGTGTGTGAATGCATGTTGTGTGTTTATATCTCACACTGTGTCCCTGGACAAGACTGTCCTTGGAGATGGGGCCCCCCTGTTTCCCCCCACCCCCAGCATATTCTTCTGTGTCCTGTCTGAGGCCCATGGGCTCTCATACCCCTTTAACAACCCCCCCACCCCCAGCACCACCTGACTTCTCCAGTACCGCAGTGAGAGGCACACACACACACATACACACACGGGTGCACACTCAGAGCCCCAAGCCTCCATAGCACAGCCTTCCTTCTTGGGACCCTTGCCTGTGTGTCTCCATGGGCACAGGTCCCCCTCCTCCCGCTTCCATCTCGGGGGGAACCATCAGAGGGAGAGGCTGCCAGATCATGTAACCAGGACTGCAGCTGGGAGCCCGGAGGGGAAGGGAGCCCCCAGTCCTGCTGGGCCGGCTCAGGCCCCTCCGAGGCTCCCCTTAGACACCTGCCCCCAACTCCCCCCACCCCAGTCCCTGGGGTCATTGATCCAGGGATTTGGCCAAGGCTAGCCTGTACGTGTGCGACAGCCCGGAGCTGGGCTAAGTCTCCACCATGCCTTTGGTTGATTTCTTCTGCGAGACCTGCTCCAAGCCCTGGCTGGTGGGCTGGTGGGACCAGGTAGGGGGTTTGCAGGGTCGGGGGAGGTGGGAGAGGTACAGCCACCTGGGAGCCTCTGACCTCCAGGGATGGGCTCCTAGCTGTAGCTGGATGCCTATATTGCCTGGCCATGTAATATTGTAGCTTCTGGCTGTGTGGCCCAGGGCTGGACAAGGATGGCT